GGCGGGCCGCCGTCCCGCGCGCCGACCTGCGGCTGCACATAGAGCGGCTGCTGGACCGCGGGCGCGGGCGCGGGCGCCTTGGGGTCGGGCGGCAGCCAGGACGGCAGCGGCCGGCCCTTGTCGCCGTAGTAGTTGCGCAGCACGCGGCACACGTGCGTGTCGTCTTCGGTGTCGCCGTCGTTTTCGGACGCGAGGAGCGTCGACCGCAGCGACGAGATTTGCGATGTTGTCCTCGTGAGGATGTTGGAGTACCAGGATGTCATTTTTTTTCTTTTTTTTCTTTTTTTGGACGGGTCGGATGGGGTTGGATAGACGAGACTGGATGATGACCTTGGTGGGTATTTTTGGGGGCGGATGGTCTTGACGGATCAACGTGGACTTGTGTTTTTGAAAGATTCGCTTGCTGGACAAAAGAGGATGGGGAGGATGTAGAAAGGTGTTGCAATGTAGCTTCTTGGTGGGGGTGTTACATGTACGGAGAAGTGGGGCCGACGTCGAGGCTTAATTTAGCATGTGCAGGTCCCCCCCGGAGTCCCGTAGTAAAACTGGCACTTTGGTTGTCAGAACAATGACATTGGCTTGTGTATTAGTGTTTGTTTGGCTGGTGTCCAGCCACCATGCAGCAAGGGAAAATACATGAGCTTGACGAAAATAAAAAACGCAACCAACCGACGCCGCAACGCCAGCAATGCTATAATCATCCCGGCAGCCGCAAGTTGGCTGTGACAAAAACACGCAATTTTTTGGTTCTTCCCCCCATTGTGCCCACCATCACACTTCTTCACCACGCCAGGTCGTTGGTGAGGGTCAGCTTCTCCTTCTCCTGCTTGGCTTTCTTGTTGTTCATCTTGACGACGCGGCCGCGCTTGCGCTTAGCCCCGACCTTGTCCTCCTCGGCCTCGCTATCATCGTCTTCCTCATCCTCGTCGTCGTCGTCCTCGCTCTGCAGCCAGTCCTCCAGCTCGTCCAGCTCGGCCTCGCTCTCGTCGACATCCGACACATACTGGACCTCCTTGTCGCCATCCTCTGCCTCGCTGTCCGCCTCCGAGTCGACGCCCTCATCCAGGTCCTCGTCCCGCTCGCCCTGGCCGTCCCTCTCCATGGCGTTGAGCACCTTCTTCCAGATATCCTCGCTGACATTGAGCGGCTGATCACCATACGCACCCTGTCGCAGACGCTCAACCAGCTCCCGCTCAATCGTGCGCTCCAGCTTGGCCGCGGCCTCGGCCTTGCGCTCCCTCGCCTCCTCGCGGTGCTTGATCTTGGGCGCCAGCTTGGGCACCAGCTTCTCCCCCAGGCGCTCCTCCTCGGCGGCGATCCTCCTCATGCGGATCTGCACCTGCGTCAGCCGCGTGAGGCGCTGCTTGCACTTGTGCACCAGGAACTTGGGCCAGTAGATGAGCCGCTCGTCAATCTGCTCCAGCGCCTTGGTGTAGTTGTTGGACAGCTTGACCTTCTCCCACATCTTGGACGGCAGGTGCGCGCGCTCGACTGTCTTCATGTACAGGTACAGCGTCTGCTTGGTCGGGTGCTGCCGCACCGTGGCGTACCGCGAATTGGCAAGCGGGCATGACTGTCGGTTGCAGAGACCGGTGACGTTGTATTCATTGCGGCAGAAATTTTGGTTCTTTTCCGTTCTGCTCAAGTCTATCAGCAACATGCTTCATTTCCGCCTCCCCTTTTATAGATTGGGCTGGGGGGGAAAGAAAAGAAAATTGAATTGGGCGATTGGCAGCCTCCCCTTCCCAACTCACTTTAATTTGAACGAGCAAAACTGCTGGTTGATGATTTGCCAAATAATCTCATCCGAGGCCATCTTGCCCCCAATGTCCGCGACAGCAAAGAAGGAAGAAGAAGAAAGAAAAGTCCTCAAGTCCGTCGAGAAAGGTTGTAAAGAAGGGGCGAAAAAAAGAGGTCCCCGCCGCCGATTTATTTTGTTCCTGCACCCAAGAAAGTTTGCTTCCAGGTTTTTTTTTGCCAGATACTGATAGGCCCGAGGCGCTCGAGCCAATCCACCATGTTTGCTCTGGCACGTCTCACCGCCTTCCCGCTTGGCCGCAGCCGGCCGTTGGTCCCAGGGACTTTTCTTCGGATGCGGAACAACGCGTCTCCGCAAAACCCATGCAAGCAAGTCGCTTCCCAGGCGACGTCGTCCCGGAGCTACGAGCCGCATCCGCCAACCTCCACGACAACCTCCGACGTCACAAAACCACCACATTTTCAACGAGCCTTACGACTTTGCACTCCCCTCCCCCCTTCTTCTCTCCTCCGTCCATCATATTCTGCGATTAATACCCCCCCGCGGGGACCGACCTTCAGCCATGCCTACCGCCGGCCTCAAGACCATCATCTCCCTCTCCTTCGTGCTAGCCGTCGGCTTCCTGCTCGTCATCCTCTCGTGCGCCCTGTACCAGTCGTACTTCCCGCTCCTCGTGGTCGCCACATACGTTGTCGCCCCTCTGCCCAACTGGATTTGCAGCCGGTGCGCCAACCCCGATGACTTTGTGGAGAGCTCTGGCGCCGGCGTGCTCGACCTGGGACGGTTCCTCACGGGCTTCCTTGTTGTAATGGGAATGGGTACGTTGCGCCCCCTTCTTTTACCCTTTCCCCCCCGGGCCTCTGCCACGGCCACACTGCTAATGAATACAGCTCTTCCTGTTGTTCTCGCCCACTCCGACCTCATCCGCGTCGAGGCCATGGTCATGTCGATAGTGGGCGGATTGTTGATCTACGGAACCATCATCAGCTTCAGCTTGTTCTTCCACGAGGAGCAGGAATTCTAAGTGGACCGGCTATGGCATCTGCTTATTTTTTCTTTTATTAATCAAGAAGGATAGTAGTGACTATAGGGTTTACAGAGGGCAGACAGGGAAGGGAGAAGGGGAATGAGGAGGATACGGTTTGGCGCACGTGTACAATGAATGGCTCTTTTGGCAACCTGGGAAAATTGCATTAAGCGAGGTCTATCTGTTGATTAGGTATAAGTAATGTCGCTGTATTGATGCCCAGTGTATGATCAAGCGGAGTGTCTTCTAATCGCCATGTGTTTCTGAGAACACAATCCTCAATGCCTACATCGCTCGTGCGATACCCGTCTATCCCATTCCTTGTTGAAATAGCCGTACAAAAACTCCGTGGTTATCCTCCCACCCCCCCTTTTCTCCCTGTTGAAGTATCCCCCCCCCCCCCCCCCCCCCCT